TAGCAGTGATGATAATAATAATGATATTAGCGCTGATATTGATAATAATACTAAAATCTATAGATTCATTCGTATTTAAGTGATGACAAGGGTAGATATTTTCTAACTAAACAAGTTAATATTACAAATTTAAGAATAAGAAAGGATAATTGTTCTCTACCTAATAATACTATTCAAAAGTATTCGCTAGCAAAGGTTCAAAAAAGAGTGAAATATATCAATTATTGAGAGGCTACCATAATTGTTCTCATTTCAGCTTGAAATATCCTTAAAAATTTGAATAAAAGAAGAGGGAAAAGCAGAACTAACTTAAACTATTTTACTTTCAGCTCAAAAAAGTGAAATAGAACGTTTCTTTGTTGTTTTTGCTTACTTTTCCTTCCCTTTTGTGTCTTTTACATCAATGCAAACTTTATTTTGAATTCAAAGAAGAAAACTCAATTTCAGACTGAAATGAATGGAAGGATAGAGAAGAAGCAAGCAATGGCTACTGTTTTGTAGTATGCAAATATATTATTCTAAGAGAGAGAGTAAAGTATGTACAGTTAGTTATTGATGGCTAATTTTTAATCTTTTTTTTTTTTTTTTGATTTAGACTTGAAAATAAAGTTGCACAATATGCTAGTACATGATTGAAGTTAAAAAATAAATAGAAGCAGTTAGATTGTGAGCAAAATTTCAGTAGGCAATGGATTTTGTTTAAATATCAAGATGGATTAAGCCTAAAATCTCAAGGACATATTGAAGCATAGCACTGCATGAGAAAATTTACGAGTGACGTATGGCTTATTTGCTATTATAGTCATAAAATGTGCAAGAATCCCATTCAAATTTGGTTAGATTTCAGTACGTAATGAGCAGTCTTATTTATTTCAATATTTCCCAGTTGATTTATAGTTTTTTTTAAATTAACATTTCCAAAAATTGCTCTAAAATTAAAAAATAAAATGACATTTAGTTAGTTATCTGTTACTACTGCTACTTTAATAGCACTAATGTAGCACTTGGCATTTTCTTCCAGTTTTTTTCAAAAAATATATATATATATTAGAAGACTTAAACAATTTAAGCAATAATTACTAAGCGGATTCATGAAATTATTGCTAATTTATTCCAAAATTTTTTTGCATAATTTTAATTACAATCAAAATTATGCAAAAAAAAAGAAAAAGAAATGCTCAAATTACAGTTGAAATTTGAATAAGTTGAAGGAAAGGCCAAAAGTAATGAAATGATAAAAATTTAAAAACTAACACTGGTTCTTGCTCATAATCCTCGTTCTCATCGTCCTCATAATTTTCATTATTAAATTCTGCATCTTCTTCATACATAATCTCATAATTTTCGTTGTTATATTTACCATTTTGATCACCATCATTATCTTCCTCGACCAAAGCATCTTTTTCGTTCTCGTCATCGTCAGCGTCATCGTCATCGTCATCATTATCATCTTCAGCATACTCAACATTGTCATCATCTTCATTTTTGTTATCGTCATCATTGGTATGCCTTAAAACTTCATCTTCCTCCATCAAATTGCTGTCTTCAAGTTTTTCATTATCCGACGATGCAGTAACATGTCTTGATATTTTATGATTCTAAAAAATTGAAACATATTAAAGATGCTTTTTTTCAATTAACAATTACTAAAAGAAATGATCATGAATTTCATGAAAGATAACAGAATTAACAACTATTCATGCAAATTGAAGTGATCAATCAAGTGATAAATACGCCATTATTTATCACTGTTATAATCTAAACTAACACAATTAATAACAAATCTTTCATCAAATATTACAAGAGAAATTTTTGATAGCAATTAATTTCAAAAAAAGTTTCGTGTTGGAAAGTTGTGTAAATAAAAAAACTAAAATTAAAATATCTGTTACGATTTTCACAATATTTTTAAATTTTCATCTTAAAATTAATGCTAACAATTACTTAGTAAAAATTACATTGCGAAAAATAAAAAAATAAAATGAGACTTTTGAAACGATAATTGTTATTCCTGCGTGTAGTACAAAATTATTGCTACTAAGATTCATACTTACCAGTGATAGTTGGTCATTTCTATCAGTATTTGATAGTAACTCCTTTCCAGTATTCATATGCGAGCCATCAAACTGTGGTCTTTTATTTAGAAATTTTAGTTTTTCTCCTTTAGCTCTGATACTTTTAGCTGACCTTTTTATCATTATGGCTGAAGTAGATCTGAAATTGAAAACAATGTAAATCACCACTAAACAAATTTCAAATGTAAGAAATTTTCAAAAAATCATAAAATAACTACTCAGTTTAATTTTGTCGAAAAATGCTTGAGCATTTTTTGCTGCGTTTCAAAAATTTTGTTAAAGTTCAAATTACTCAAGCTCATAAGAATGAAAAACTAACATGAAAATTAAATATAAGTTAGGCAAACATTATATTATACGAATTTAGTAGACAAATTTAATCATAATTTTCTGCCTGGAAACTTTCTTTTCTGGATCATCAACTTCAATAGCATCATAAATTTAAATTTAACTGCTAGTCCTTTTTTACAAAAATTTTTATTTCAGTTATAGAAAATAAAACCATTCATTTTTCTTCATTTAGAAAAATAAAAGCCTGAATCTGAAGCCACATACTGGTAATTCAAAATTTGCAAAACTTTTAAATATGTAATTAAGTTCTAAGAATTGCTTATTGTTTTTAGCAACTCACAAAAGCAAAAAATTGTAGAATAGACTTATCAGGAATAGTTAAGAAGTTCTGAGGAAAGTAGTTTATGACTTAGTCTAAACTTACTGTAAAATGATATCTATAAGAATAGTAACAATGATGAAGGACGTATTAAGACCGATTGATTGTTGCATCGAAAGTGCCATCCAATTAATTAAAATTGAATTTTCAGATAAATAATAACAAAATTTTTTTAAACAGTTCAAAAAATAAAGAAGAATAAATGTGCCTGAAACTTCTTCATACGCTCGTCTTTTATTGCACATAAGGATCTCATTCACACAAAAAGTTATTAACAAAAAGGATAAATTCTGAAAATGAATACAATCTAACATTTTTTATTAATCAAAAGAATTTTAGCAAACTAAAAATAAATGATGCCAACAAATTATTGTTCTTGTGAAAAAAATTATCTAATATTCACTTATAATTGTATGCTATCAGTGATATTTTACCTAGTTTAAGCATTTTAATTTTACTATTACAAACTGTACACAAAACGTACCTTGTAATTGTTTTTGGCAGTATAAATCGGCAGTTATTTATTAGCCTAGTGATAATAGTCAAGTATAAACTTTAAGCAAATATGGACTAAATAAATATACTTTGATGGGAAAGCAATGGACTGCTGTTGCAAACTTTGCTAAAAGGCTTAAATAAAAAATGTTTGAAGTTTAAAATAGAAGGAATAGTTTACAGTTAAAGCTAAAGATCCATGTGAAGTTGTAGAATAGCACAGCAAACAATATTTTACAAATTAAGCAATCGAAATTTATATTGTCAACAAAAAGTGTATTGTTAATATTTACTTATGACTTACTTTATTTGCTTCAGTTCAGCTCACTTTTTTGTGGGCAATTTTGCTTACTTTTGAGACAATACTAAAATGAAAGGTTAATTGAAAATATGAAACATTATTTGCATATTATTTCCGCACATATTATTCTTGCATAAATCATATTTAAAACACACTAAATAGCCCGTGGGAAGGAGCACAGAAATTTTAAGCTATTCTTTGAAAATGTATCTTCTAAATACATGAAATTGTATAAGCTAATGAAAAAACGTCTTTCTTTTTAACATAAATTAGTTTTAATTTAATATTAATAAAGAAATTTTTGATTAAAATATTTTGTAAGAATTAAAATAATCTAAAAGTTATCAAAAATCTCTTGTTCATTCTGCATGCTTTTATCCTTTAGATGTATTATTAACAGAGCGGAAAAAATTAAACATTTATACATTTGAGCAACAGCAAAGCACACATGCAAACTCACTTCAGTAACTTGAACTTTTAATAATTTGATATCGAAAAGAAGAGAATAATGCATCGATGTTATGAGCTGATGGAACACAATTGAAATAAATAAAATTCTTATTTATTCATAAATGAGAATTATCACAATAGCAGCTATAAGCTCTCAGTTTTCAAAGACTTCATCATCCGTCACAACTCGCTGCCATTATAAATGATTTTCAATTTAAAATACTGCACAATATTGCTAAAATTGTTTTATTCAAAATTCTCAGTACTATATCATTAGTTGTTTTTTGAAAAAAAATAGGAATGTAATTTATAATCAATCAATCAAAGGTTTAATTTATAATTAATTAGAAGCCTTGGAATAAAAATTGGACTGAAGAATTATTAAAGAGATAATTCGAGCAGCATGCTTCATATAGCAATAAAGCATGCTGTTCAAATTAGTCTTTTTGATTGCTAATAACTAAAAATATGATCTTTTTGGTATGTAAAAAATTACGGAAATATTTGATGTGGAAAGTAGAATTTATTAGCTGGCTTTACTGCATGGCTTTTTATCCCAAGTCTAGTCTTAGCTAAAGGCATTCTTACAAGTCCTAAATTATTTTATGGGTCGCTACATTTTAATAATCCATGGTTTCTAACATCGGAAACTGTCGCTGCAAAAGTCTACCTTTTGAATTATAATAAGCAAAATTGATTCCTTTAGTGCCTTAAACATCAAAAAATTTTAAAATTTATATTGATAGTGGCTGAAAATTTTTAAATTTCAAGCTTATTTAATTTTACAAAGCTTCGAACTTTTACAATTTAAAGAGATCGATCAATTTTGATTATGTTGTCATGATTATGATTATTATTATCATTAAAATTATTATTATTATTATTATTATTAT